CATGTCAAAATGTTTGTGAGTCATTGATTTAACATCCACGCACTTGATAAACTAAAATTGTGATCTTATAAATCTAGAATTTCTATTATCGTTCTTCTATGGTTACAACAATATTCCTATATTTACTTTGGAGAAATTGTAAAATTTTGAAGATATAATAAATAAGTGGCGATAACTAAAAACTTGGTTATGCTATAAAGTTTGATTGAGTATTCCTCATGTTTAGCATGTTAGTATTCGTAACTTGTGATATTTCGGAGACATAGAGTACAAAGTGGGCTCATATAATGCTACAACTCTTTAACTTGTTATGTGTGTAAAGTCATTCTAAATAATTTCTTTTGTGATACATACTAAATTCTAGGATTTACAAGTGAAAATACAACATATTGTCTTCGATCTCCTCGTTCTGACTTATAAGTACCATGTAAAGAGGTGAATAAAGATATAGTCAGGTTTTTATTGTCAAACGTGCAAACCTCTCAAAACTTAAACTCATTTTTCTTTATTAACAACGTTGCACAGTTGTTGCAAAAAAATTACACTTATATATGGAGAGACATCATTATATGCACTTTTCTAAGTCTACTCAACTTAATCCCGAATCTCCCTAAGGAAAGAGAGATAAGAGTGCCTCATTTTAATTTGTTACACATTATGTTTCAAGTTCAATATATTATTTTGTTAATTAATTTTTTTGACAAGCTGAGGGAAGATCCAACCACTTTATTCGCCATTTTGTTGAATTTTGTCACTAATGATGTGTTTGATATGCAATATGAATAAAATTATACAATACATAATATTATTTTTTTCCTTTTTTAATAATATATAATATTATTAAATATGTTATGAACGTATAGTTGATAATAACCTCCATGCAATCAATAAATGAAAGTTGCATTCTTATAGATCTCAAATTTTCTTTTATCCTCCTCCTATAATTTAGAGGAAATATTCCTATTTTTACTTCTAATTTTAAAATTTTGACAAAATACAAAGGAGAAATCATAACATCAAAAACAATCTCTTTGGTTTATCTAAAAAAGTTGATTAACATCTAAGTTAAAATCAATAATTTATTTTAATCACATGTTTTATGGGACTCATAACTTTTCAATCACACTCCATTAACTTTTATCAAAATTTACTAAAAATTTAAATTTTATCTAAATCAAAAAAGAGCTAAATAAATAAATAAATTATTTTTTAAGATTTGCATGGTGTGAGTATTAATTCCTCGTGTTTAGCGGGTTAATATTTTAAACTTGTGATATTGAAAAAGATAGTTCCAAGCACAATTCTAAGCTTTTTTTTCAAAAGAGTTGGTTAAAATAGTTCCTTTTGTGTTATATACAACAACAGGACTGACATACTCTTACATCACTTATATTGCTTGGTCTATTCGTTCTTTACTCTTTAGAAACAAAAAGAGATGAACAAAAGAGACCATAACATTTTTCATATAAATAATATGTATTATGCACTATTAGACTCGACTGCATATGATAATAGTCAAGATTTCAACTTCCCTTTTTTCTGTAATTTTGTTTAATATTATATTGTCTACCTTCCCAAACATGTAAAAGAGTATATAATATGATGTCAATTATAATGAACACAAGATTTTTAAACAAATTGTTAAGTAGTGAAATTAAAATAAATTTCTAAGGAGAGATCTTTGGGAGTAAGAATATACTTGTGACATACACCTTAATATTTTTGCTTTTTTAAGTCGAAGTGTTAATATTGTACTAAGCTATTTCGAAATCAATTCTATAATTCTTTTAGACAATATATGTAACGAAACTATTTTGATCATTCAAATTCAAGGTTTAGCCCCTTGTTGGAAGATTTTCCATATGTTGTTATTTTTTTCCCTGAAATCTATTTAGCAAGTTACCAAATTAATGTATCTTAAGTTCATACATATCATACTCTATTTGTAGTTTATGTTTTGTTTGCTTGGGGTCAGATTAAAAACTCGTTTGGGAGAGATTTTTTTTCCAGTAAAAATAATTTTTATAAGAAAATTCAAATTATAAGTCTCATAAAATATGCGATTAAAAATAATAATTTTCAAAAATAATTTCTCAAACAAACTTTAAAAGTATTGCTCGATGCTTGTAATCTTGCTCGACTTCTCAATGCATCTTAATAAATATATACAATTTTACTATTCGTTTACACACTTAAAATGGAGAAGAGAAGGGGGAAAAAAATTAAAGGAACAGCATAATACTATTATTCTTTGCTTATAACTTGCTGATAATTAAGTAGGAAGTTTTCTAAAGTGATTCTACAAAATTAAGTTTGTCTAAGATATTCCCTTCTTATGACAATTATAAATACAAGAAAATGTTCCGTATGTTATTTCAATAAAGAAACCTGTTTTAACTTATTACTCAAACATAAGTTTGCTGCTTATCCTCGATGGATCAAAAGGTACTCCCACTCTACCTCACTTGAGGGGTTTTTCTTAAATATTGTTCTTGTTTGTTACATTTATCTCTACCCTATATATTGTTTCAAATTATGTTGAATTGTTAGTATAGACACATTTTACAACTAATCATTATTGCATCTTATCTAATCTTTTGTTGCATTTAATAATTGTAGGTTATTTTTCAAGGGAGAATTGGATATAAAAATAAAGTTTTTTCTCAAATTTCTTGTCAAGTTCTAAATCTAATATGATTATTGTTATCTCATATATCCAACAATTCTCCATCAAAATTTCACTTTATTTGCATAAATTCTTCAATATGAAAGATAACTTACGTAATGGCCCACTGGTAACTGGGATGACAAATATTACTGAACACGTTGCAAGTTCATTCGTCATCAAAATCTTTACATGTGTACCTGTTGGTACACATGAAACTAACCAGCTTTTTCAGACCAGTTAATTAGTATATTAATTGCCAGCAAAAGCAAGATAATTAATGAAAAGCTATTCGAACAAGGCCACGTCGACCTGTTCGAATAGGGGACGATGTGGCACCCCTAGAGGCAAGGTGCATGTTCCGATACCGTGTCCGTCTAGCACTGCCCTTAATTAATTGCTAGATTATTCAATCGTTAAGCTTCACGAGCCGGCTCGTATTTTGGCTCGTGAGGTTTGTGAGCTGGTTCGGGCTCAAACCAAATTTTATTTTCGAGGCTTGGCTCGAGTTTTGGTCCATACAAAAGAGCTTGGGGTAGAGTCGACAAGAGATTTTTTTGAATTGAGCTTGTTTGTGCTTATCCTTTCTAGGCTGGCCACCAGCTATTATACAGTAACGGCTATTGTACAGCAATCGCTATATCTACGTAATGACGTAATGTATAATGATTGATTCAAGGAAGTATTAGGGCTTGTTTGGGAGAAGTTGTGGAATCTATTCGAAATATATGTGTTTTAAGATTATTGGAAAAAATACATAATATTTACAATAAAATAAATAATTATTTGTTATATTCAATATATATGTTTCTGTTATACAAATCGTTGTATGATTACTATGAGTTAAAGAATTGACGATTAAGAATTTAAATTTCACTTTTCAACAAGCATGTTTGAGGTTATCTGAACCACCAAGCCATTTAAAAATAAATTAAAAACTCAATCACTCATTTAAATGTCGTATGAACTATGAAATACCTGAGTTGAGTGTGTGAGTTCCCAAACAATTCTTAATTTGGGGCTTTAGGTGGTCAATCAGAGGGCAAGTTCGGGTAAACTTTCTTGCCTAAGGTTCGGTCGGCTTGGATGCCAACAGCCTATTAATATTGTGTTGAACCCTGCTACTCAACCAGAACTGGTGACACGATATGGGCCTATCACCGACTCTATTCAAGTAGCATTATATTATTGTGTTTGCTTACACAAGAAGTGACATTTCATTCCTCTTAACGTGTTTAGTAGTGGTTCCACGAACAAGAGAGAGAGAAACTAGACTTTACTAGTTGGTACAATTTGTTGACTCGGTTTTTAATTATTATACTTCAATTTTTTTTATTGTTATTTTGCATGTCTTTTGTTGACATCTAGATTAAAATCATTTACTAAATTTCATATTGAACCGCTTTTTTCATATATCACTTTTATATATTTATTGAAAAATCTATATTATATTTTTATCTATATGTAAATTTATTTAATTAGGCAAGTATAATGTCAAATAAAATCTATTATTCTAACTTAAATAAATTTTGGGGTTTTGCCTATGTCAGCCTTAAAAGAAATATAATTTTTATTTTCAGGAGTTTGTGTGCTCAATTACTTGTAAATGCACAAGCAGTCGCAGAAAAGAACAGTGCCTTAAATTCTTGAATTTTCTATCGTTCAAGAAATTTCAGATTATTAGCATGTATAATGCAAAACAAGTAAATATTGGTTTTTGTTAATTTGGCTAATGGACTCATTGATGGGGTTGCTATCCCATTAGTACTAAATCGCATTACTCAAAATCTAATTTTAATCTCCACAAAGAGGACTATGATTTAACAATTTTTGAAGTCAAATTACAGGTTGATTAAGGAAAATGAGGTCCAAACATTATTTTGCTGTCAATTTTGATAATATGAAATTGTATTTTGACGAATTTAGAAAGTGGACCGACAGAATAAAGCAAAATTGAGGTACAAACGTCATTTTTTTCTGAGTCCTCCAAGATTTGAACTTAAAATAGGTCTTGGGGACGTGACAGAAAATTAGGCTCAAGTTGTTACAAATTGGTACCAATATAACTTAAGTCTCTAATAAAGTGTGAATCCTAGGCAATGCAATCAAAATCTGTGATGGATAAGAGGGCATATGCTCTCACAAGCAAATAATACATAACAGATTTCATGTCGTTACAAAGAAATGCATATTTCTGATCCTATTTGCCTACACATGGGTTGTTATAAAATGCATCGTTGAAAACATTAAAATTGTTAGTTCTATGAAATGTGTTTTTAAAATTGAAATTTGACTAGTTAAAAAGTTGATATTTTATCAAACAAGCTGCTAATAAATGTCTACGAAAATTCATGCTAACATCCAGGGAATGACAACAGTTGGAACCAAAGGAGATGACCAGAGTGCCAACATCCAGGGAATGACTACAGTGGGAACCAAAGGAGATAACCAAAGTGCCGAAATCACTCAAATTGATACAAAATCACAAGAATCAAACAACAGCATTTCCAAGGATGATCCTGTAGAGAACTATGTTGACAACACAACCGACAAACCCCAAATACAAAGGGTTCCATCATTGCTGCGTGACATACAATCCAACGACAAATGTTATGATCCTCTCGTAGTTTCGATAGGCCCTTATCATCATGGAAATCCACAGCTCGAATCATTCGAAAATCTAAAAATTCCAGTCGCACACAAATTCATTCGTGCTTGTGGTAACCAAGTATCCTACAAACAGTTATATGAAGAGGTGGCAAAGGTGGGTGAAAGTGCCCGCAAATGCTATGAGAAAGGCTCAACTGAAAAGTATGATGATGAATCGTTCAACAAAATGATGTTTCTTGATGCTTGCTTTGTGCTTCAAATTATCTTATCTAAAACTAACAGTAATCAAACTGGAGAAGATCTACTAGGACCTTGGGCTCACCACCTTGTTTTTGCAAGGAGGGGCTTGTTCTTGCTAGAGAATCGAATTCCTTTACTAGTACTAAAAGTTTTGATAAAATTCAGGTTCGAAAATGAAAGCGTTGGGGCAAAGTTGATTCAGAATTTCCTTAATCAGACGGCCCACATAATGTGACCTCAGAAAAGGGAGAAATGGGAAATAGATATGGATGCACCTAACCTTCTACATCTATTTCGGGAACGGCTCATCTGGTCATCTCCTGAAGATAAAAACGAGAAAAACTGTTTCAAACGCCTTCTACATCTACTTCGGGAACAGCCCATCGAATCATCTCCTGAAGACAAAACAAGCTCATTGGGTCATCTCCTGAAGACAAAAAGGGGCAGAAATGTTTCAAATGCCTTCTACATCTACTTCCGGAATGGCTCATTGGATCATCCCCTGAAGACAAAAACGAGGAGAAATTTGTCGAATGGTATTCGTATCGTTCAGTAACGGAGCTTGAATCAGCAGGAATTCATTTCAGACCAAGTCAAACTGACCATTTTACTGATGTAAAGTTCAAATCTCACCTTCTTTCTTATACTCTTACACTTTGTCCAATCGTGGTGGAAGATTCAGCAAAATCTTTGTTATTAAACTTGGCGGCTTATGAAATGTGTCCCAATGACCCTTCTGATTATCGCATTATGTCATACATTTGCCTGATGGATTCACTCATTGATCATGCTGATGATGTTAAAGAGTTCCGGAAAAGAAAAATTCTTCTCAACAGTTTAGGCAGTGACGAAGAATTGGCGCGACTCTTTAACGAGATATCTAATAATGTGGTATATGATAATGATGCATATAGAGATGTTAAGATGCAGATTGAAAAACATTGCCAGAGTAAAGCACAAGTCTGGATGGCTGAATGGATACACAACCATTTTAGAAGTCCTTGAGCTTTCTTGGCTTTTCTAGGTGCAATGTTCATCATTGCCCTTACTACGGTACAGACATATTTTGCCATTTTTCCGCACTAAACCTCAAGACACAAGACTTCCTAAATCAATTATCTCAGTACAAGCTCTGTAGTTGCAAAAGTTTGTTATTTTCAGCACGTTTTAGAAAATATATGATATCTTTTTGCTTTGCTAAAATCATTAATTCGTCCATTTAATCTACTTTCACATCAATGCCATGTTAGATGGAGTATATTCGTACATAAATTTAGAAAAAATAATAAATTTTAATTGAGAGCTTAAATTAAATTATCGAACAGTGGTAATAATATCAGTAAAAGAACGATCTCTTATGCTTCTAGACATACTCGGGTTTACATATTCTTGTATAATCAAAGGGAATTAATTTTTTAATTTTAAAAATTTCTTGTAATTTAATTCATAACAATTTTCTCATAGAACCATTTTGGGAAATTTTCACACTTGGGTAGATTTTGGTGCCCATATTTTGTAGGCCTTACATTGTAAATAAACAATTTCTTTTCTACCAACCATGCTCTCACTTTTTAAAATTGGTTCCACTAGATATCAATAGGATTGTTCTGTGCCACATAGGAGGGTCTTTGGTTGTCTTTTAATTTTTTGTTTTTCCTCCTACACCCGGCCCCACCCTTTAAACTTTTTATCCACCCATTCCCTTTTTTCCCACACCACACCAGGCCTGCCTTTATCTCCCATCCTTTATATATAAATGTTTTTTTTTTGTCTCAATTTTCAGGGTCATGATGAAATGTCAAATGAAATCAAAATATTACATTCTTAATATCATTTCGAAATGTTCACAACCTAGTTCCTAGCATTGTTAACGGCGCGCAAAACGGTCAATCAGAGCATAAATTACGACACGTCAAATAGCCATTACAAACTAGTATTTCGAAAATTTCGATACCATGCTAACATTAAAAATTTGCTTACCATCATATGCTAATCAAATTCATAAATTGTCTATGTTATCTTAAAGCTTGTTTCGAGAGCTACATTGTAGACATATTGAATAGTCCAAATAAAAATCGTTTGAATATTGAAAATAATTTAACGAGCTTCTCAAAAAGAGACGCATTACTCATTTTTCTTTAAAAAATTTCTATTATTTTATTAATGTTTATTGTTTTTCACAACAAATTTCTTAATATTATTTACGTCATTTTATTAAAATATATTTACATGTGATATGATGTCAAAAATTTTCGGATCAATATATAAAATATAATAAATTAACATTACTCCATTTGGTTCTGATTTTTTATTCCAAAAAATCAATTTTTTGACCGTTACTTCCCTAAACCAATCATCATTTTTATTCGTCACTCACAAGTGGAACCACTTTTCTCTCTAATGGTAAAAAAATCAATTCTCATAATCACTACCAAATATGCCAAATAAGGTTCAAATTTTCGAATTATTTTTTTCCCTTTTTTAATCCATGTTCTAAAATACTGAAAGAACAAATCAATAAAAAAAAAACACTGATGAGGTTCAAGTTTGAATTTTTCCCTCCTTTTCAAAGTACAAATGATCAGTTTGAAAAATGCATTAAAAAACTTAGAGGCGGCTTGTAAGTTAAGCTTGAGAAAAATATCCATACCCAGACAAAAGAACTCTCTTTGGGGTCTCCTTTCTATTGGCCACAAATCTTTGTAAACTTCTTAAGACAATTTTAAACCCTTAAAAGGCTTCTTTTCAAGCCTACGTATCGAAATATTTCATTGGCTACAAATCACGCTGCATCAATTGATAAAACTTTAACAAAGTTTATCGAACCAACAAAATAAAAGAAAACTTTAAGATAACATAATTAATTAAGAGTAGTATACAGATTGTAGTGAAGCAGTTTGTATTTATTATAACTTTTTGTATAGAACAAGATTGTAACTCATGGTGAAGATTCCAGAATGCTAGGAATCAATTGAATGAGGAAAAAAGTTAAATAAAAGAAATATAGTCAAAGTATTATCACCTATCAATTTTCAATCGAAAAAGTTACGCTTTAAATTTTCAACATTAAATTGAGACTTATTTTTGGCACAGAAAACTTTCGAATTGGCAAGTGATACTTAAATAAGATTGTGGCTCTGCATTTTGAATTGACTCAATCAGATATCAGGAGAGAGAATTATGACAAAAGTACTGAAGGTTGCTTAGGACAAGAGGAGGTGCGCACCTAGGACTGCAGATGAGGCCAGCGTCTCTTTCTCTTCTAAGACTATGTGAAGCTACCAAATTCACTGAAGCGCGTTCCCTAGCTAAGCCCAGGTGCACATCCCAAGGCAAAGTGCAAAAAAAAAATCATTTTTTCCTTTTCTTATTTAGGTATCTTTTGGAATGGAATTTTTTAGCATCCTATATATCAAGAGGCTATCCAGAACCAAAGGTAACCTATTTTTCGACATAGAAGAGCAAGAAAATAGAGATTTTTAAATTCAATGAGCAGAATTGCATTATTCGGGGTCGAGTTTCAAGCAATGAATTGAAGTTTTCCTGATCTTCCCAAGTTTCATAGCCTCTGGTGATGTTTATCTTTCTTTTGTGTAATTTTCATATGGCAGTGTTAGGCTAAATCTTTTATTATTGGATGGATGAAACCTTTGTTTTATAGTTTTTAATTCAAGGCTTTTTTAGTTAATTCTTGTGTTCTTGATCAAATATGCACAAAGCTTGTGTTATAATATTTGGTCATCATTTAGATAACTAGTTATTTATTTGTGGTGTTGGGAGACTCACAATAGATAAAACACTGTGTATTTAACAAGTGAAAAATAAATATTAGAAAAAATAATATTTATGGCGTGTACAATTATATGAGATAATTTTGTGATTGAAAACGTGCCTTGCACATGAATTTGAACAAAGAATATGATTGGATTGTGTTAAGTATTTATTTAATATATCTTGGAAGAGAATATTAGATATTAATGGATTATTTGATTGTCAAGAACACATTAATCAAGCTGCTTATATAATTCGAGAATTGGAATTAGATATCATTAGGTGAATTCTGAAATCTTCATCTCATCTTTGGATAAATATTGATCTTTTATTGCTTTCATAGTTTATATTAGAATAATAACAAGAATAAATCTATTTCTTGTTACATTAAATTGAATTTGATTATAATTAGTAAACTATAATTACAATTTTTCATCGTGGTACAATACTTTTAACTCACTAAATCTATTGCTTATCAACGATCTTGTATGATTGCAAATTTTGTTTGAACACCACATTTCAATTTTCAACCGCCCCATTTCTTTGCTACGCGTTCATGTATTGTTAGATGGCATTTTTTGGTTCGTTATTAACGTCAAGAATGATAATTCGATGGCATTTGAGACATTGGATATTTTTGAGAATTACTTGGAATATGTTTCTGAAGTGTTTCCAGAGTACATTTACCATGGTGGATGTAGAGAGAAGGGGGACTTTGTTTTGGGGTTGAAGGGTGGTTTTTAATGGAGCTGTCGCTGTCGGGGTGCTGCTCAAGCGGCGACACTAGTGGACTGGTAGCAAACTTGAGGTTAAGTGGTGGTGGAGAAAGTAAGTGTGGGGAGTGTAGTGAGTTGGAGATATGTTTGGGTAGATGATGTCCTTAGGTATTTGCATCATTCTCTTTTGCCCTAATAAGGCACATATATAACATTTATGGACAATATGATACGTTATATTTAAATTTTATTTACTTAATATTTCTCAAAGCACGACATGTAGAAAATTTTCGCTAAAATAATATTTATGCATGCAGTGTAAGGACTTTTGTGCTAGCTCAACATTTGTGCCGTCTCAAGTTTTTTGTCTAACTACTTGTCGGATATATTTATAGATCTATAGTAGTCGGACATGTTTAATTATAGTAGTCAGAAAATATTTGATATCGATTTACATTGCTAAAATCATTAATTCTTTAAATTTAATCTACATTCACATCGATGCAACGTTAGATAGAGTATATTAGGTCATACATAAATTAATTTAGAAATTATAATAAATTTTAATCGAACACTTAAATTAAAGCTATCGAATATTGGTAATAATATTATTAAAAGAATGTCTCTCGTGCTTCTAGACATGTTCAAGTACATATTCTTGTATAGTCAGAGGTGATCAATTTTTTTTTATTTTAAAAGTTTATTCAAATTTAATTCATATCCATTTTTGCATTGAACCAACAAGTACTAGTATTTTTCAGAAAGCGGCTAAAAATGGCGGCAGAACTTGGTGTGTATAGCCTTCTGATGTTGGTTCTTCAACTTCTCAATTAAATTATATATTTGGCCGGCCTAAATGGAAACCTCTAGTTGCTACAGCTTCTGCAATTAGAAAGTTCAGTTCAAGGTTAATCATTCGAGCTTCTCACGAACCCTTGGATGACAGTAAGGACAACAAGTTCTACAAAGAACTCGATCTCTCTTTCTTTCTCTCTCTCCCCCTCTCTCGTTCTATGTTTATAATTGTGTATGCGTATGCAGCTTCAACATTTTGGAACCATTTATGTACTCTTATGGTTTTTTTTTGGCCCATATAAGAAAAAAGTTCATTTTTTGATGCAAAGTCTCTTACACCTTCTCTTGAAAATTGAATAAATTACTGAGAAGATATGCACCTAAAAATTTGCAAAAAAATGATGAGTGCCATGCGTTTTCCACAACGTGAAATTAACACAAGTGTACGGTATCAAGTTTTGTAATATAGTATTGAAGTAACAGTGTCAAACCAACAGGGATTGTAATTTAATTTTTACTAAGTATTATAATTGTGTAATTCCTACTTTATTCAAATGAACAGATGATTGAATGATTGTCTTAAACTAATGTAATTTGATTGGTTGTGACAAAATTGGTTAATGCAAATTATCAATATGAGAAGGCCTAGGGATTGATTTCACCTTACTCTCAATTACGATTCAACGATTTCCAATTATTCCCGTTAATTTTTCCATATTTAAA